GAGAGAGAGAGAGAGAGAGAGAGAGAGAGAGAGAGAGAGAGAGAGAGAGAGAGAGAGAGAGAGAGAGAGAGAGAGAGAGAGAGAGAGAGAGAGAGTACGGTGCCCAAACATTCTTATTTGCTGGTCACTCCTAATAATTTTCTCATACTGCAAGGAGGTGTAATTGGCTCTTACCACTCTCCAAAGATGTTGGAAAACGCTAGAGAGGCATCTGCCACAGGTGAGATGAAAAAGATGGGGACGGTGTGCAGGCCGGGGTTGTCCATGTACGACAGTAGGCATTCCAGTATATCGTAGACGACACCCTGAAATGGGCAAGGAACGCACAGAAAAACACAGGAATATAGTCTACGGCTCAGCGGGGCCAACACTTAAAGATGAGGTGACAACTGTGTACATTGACATCCCAGTAAACAAATCGACACAATCCAGCAGCTACAGCGATCATACGCACACACACACAAGCCATGACAACCAATCCACAAGTTTTAGTAAGCCTGGCTTGCAATAGGCGCAGGATTGGAGAACGGGACAGAAAACCTTGTCGGAGGCGAGCTGTAAAGTATTATACAACTCGTACGACACGTGATAAACATCGAAGCAGTTGGCAGGCCCCGTGTGGTGAAAAGCTCGACCTGGGCAGTAAGGTCACCTACGTTTTCAGGGGCTAATCTTCTATCGTGCATCCTTAATTGGCCAGGAATCGTACTCACGACACCGAATTCTCTAGAAGACCAAAGACTTCTTTCTTAGCTGAGCAGTTTGCACCCAGTCAGGATAGCTCATGAACGGATTTATCAGTTTGTCTACAATAGTTCTACAGTGTACATTCGTTATCCAAAGAGAAAGCAATGACATAACGAACTTCTAGCTGTCTCAAAACTCAGCTTGGGTCATGCAAGACATTCGGAACTTGGAAGGATAGCACGCAATCAATGTCATAGTGCTCACATATTGTGTTCATCACTGCACAACCCGGACACGTACAAGTACATAATTGCATTCACATTTGCAATTCAGCCGCTTTGTACGGTTGCATCGCCATTTCTTAAGTTCGCACTAAACACTATCCCGTGGTTCCCATCGCTCCTTACATCATAAAACATCGCTTCCTGGCAAGTGTGAGCTAGGCTCTAAACATCCACGGCATGTACCCGCAAGAAGCTTACCGTTGGAAACACAGGAAAGAGGACATTGCCGTCAGCACGTAGAGTAGAGGCTAGAAGCACACACAAAAAACAGAGTAGTCCACGATTCCTTCAGGACTGTAATGATAATGATTAAATGCGGTAAGGTGCGGATGCAAGTTTTTATGCTCCGCTTACTTTAGGTACCTGTGGCAGAGAACTTGAGTCTTGATCTGGACACACTAGGAATATGGCATTGAATATGGACATCGACCTCGCCTTGCTGACTTTCGAAGAGCTGCGGCATCTTGCCAAACAACATCCTATTGACGGAGCCGAGTCAAAGAGCCGAGTTGATCTTGTGGTTTCCCTAAGACAAGCTGGTGTGGGTGTAACCCCGATCAAGGCCAATGAGGTCAGTACTAGTAGTAGTCTGAAGTCTCTAAACGAGCTTGTATGTGTAGTGATAGAGCTAAGAGAGCAACTTGAGCAAGCGAAGCATGATAATGCCATTGTTTCTTCACTTCGGGATGAGGTTTCCAGCCTAAAATTGGAAGTACTAGAGCTGAGGAACTTCACTACAGGCGCACTTTCTCAAACTGCCAATGACACCCACAACCGTCGCACAAGTGCTAACGAAGTTACCGTAGAGCCCTCCCTGTATGAAACTGACACATCCATCACCACTGCACCGCAATCACAGCACACCTCCACATCGCAGCATGCACGCTCAAGTTCAAATGACCGTACTACCGGTATGCACTCGCAACCACGTGCCGCTTCCCAGTCCAGAGACACTACTCGTACAGCACCTAGACCTGCTAGCAACGGTCACGTCACTAGTACGGACAGCAGTTCCCGCAACAAATCAGATGGACAGAGCTCTTGGGTAGATGTTGTACGACGTCGGGTCACATCTCGGTACGTCAAGCCTATGCCCACGGTCGAAACAAACCCTGTAGTCCTGACAGGTGTCGAAAAGGTGGACAAAGCGATATTCTATGTAGGAAACGTCCACATGGGCTGCAGTGCCGACTCCATCAAGGATTGGTGCCAAGAGCGTGCAGTGGATGTGCTCAACTGCACCATCTTGGAATCCCGCACCTTCGGAACAGCTTACGCCAGAGTGACATTCCCAGCCTCAGCTACGGAAAAGGTACTGGGTGACGGATTCTGGCCTGCAACTATCCAGCACACCGTAAGAAAGTGGCGGTTTGCAGATTCAAATACGAACAAACCAGGTAAAACCTCCACGTCGTCAGAATGATGGCTTCCGCACCGCTAAGCGCCCGGGCCTTCCCATATTTTCCTAAGACTCAACATAATATCACTATTGTTACGATTAATTGTCGCTCCGTGTCGAACAAAATCCCTGAACTCCATTAATTGTGTCGATCCAACACACCGACTATCCTATGTCTGACAGAAACCTGGCTCTGCCCGATACATATGCTCAGTGTACCCGGTTATACGTGCTTCCGTCGAGATAGGCCAATACCAGCAAACCAAAGGGCCCAGTTCCGAGGTTATGGTGGTGTTGCCATCCTTGTACGAGATGGGACATTTTTGCATGCAGCCCAGCGCTCAGACCTTGACTCTCCCCAATGCGAAAACATATGGGTTGAGCTTGGACTTCCTGCAGACCTGGGTGCTAATCCTATACTCATTGGCTGTCAGTATCGCCCTCCTTCGCAATCCCTACCTGAACTTACCTCATTTTGTGACATGATGACGGATAATCCCTACCTGAACTTACCTCATTTTGTGACATGATGACGGATACCCTACGGGCTGTAGACCTCTCATCCGTTGATATATTCCTCACTGGTGACTACAATGCTCACAACTCTGACTGGTGGAGCGGTGACGCTACATCACGCGCTGGAAAGGAACTTTCGCATATATTCTCCAGCTTCGGTCTCTCCCAGCTGGTAGATTTTCCCACTCACACCTCTCCTAACGGAACCCTGTCGTGCCTAGACTTGCTCGCTACCAATCGTCCTCAATCAGTATTCTCTGTCGACGATGCTGCCCCGCTTGGTGCGTCCGACCATTCACAGGTAGTTACCACCCTTTTCTACAGAACTGTAACCCGAACGCCTGCAAAGGAAGTACCATGCTATCCTGCCCGTAGTTCCCCAGCCACTCCATACAATTTTGCGCAAGTGCCACCTTCTGTCTGGGTAGCAGTAAATATGTATCTTTCCTCGCTCAACTGGTATGATCTCATGGACACACCAGATGTCGACGACGCATTAGCCAGATTCTCCTCTTCCTTGAATGATGCATTTTCCCACTACCTGTCGCCTTATCGGAAAATCTCTTCCTCCACCCAGCGAGCTGTATCTAGGAAATATCCTCCGTGGGTTAATCGAGATTTAGTACTTGCCATTAAGTTGAAGTACGAACTCTACAGCCGATATAGGAAGTTCCCAACCCCAGCTAACCAGTCTGCCTTCAAAGTTCAGCGTAACAGAGTACGAAACTTATCTCGATCTCTTCACCGTGACTATTTGGCATCTATACAGGCCAGCATGGCGTCAGGTAACCTTAACATGTACCAGTTTGTTCGTTCTCAGCGGAATCGTCAGCAGGATCGTGGCCTTCCTCACCTCATTGATGAAGGCGGTCATCCAGTTTCTGGCAGTTTCGACAAGGCTACAGTCCTCAACCAGCAGTTCGCCTCCGTTGCTGTGCCGGATGATCCGTCGTTATCACTTCCAGCTCTTCGTGCCCACAGCCAACTTCATGAAACATTTGTTCAGGTCATCACCACAACTGCGGATGTTAGAAAGGCTATCGCCCGACTAAAGTCTCGCCGCAGTCCTGGCTTGGACACCATTACGAATGATGTCCTGAAGAAACTTGCCCCGTCGATATCGTACCCCCTCTGCCGTATTTTTAATGTGTACTTTTCGATTGGTAAATTTCCAGCAGCATGGAAACTCGCGAAGGTTGTTCCGGTTTACAAGAGCAAAGGCTCCAAGTCACAAGCCAGCAATTACCGTCCTATCTCCTTGTTGTCCTGTGTATCGAAACTATGTGAGCGATTATTCTTTGATAAGCTTTATGCTCATGTGTCGCCGGCCCTTGCCCCAGTCCAATCTGGTTTTCGACGAGGAGACTCAACCACCATGCAGCTGACACGCCTTGTGCAGGACATTGTGGCCCTTCGTCATGACCACCAACATGTTGGTATGTGTTTTTTCGACCTAGCAAAGGCGTTTGACACGGTATGGTTCCGTGGACTCCTAGCTAAATTATCTGCGATGTACAATGTTTCCGGAGCGTCTCTGGCGTGGATTACGGACTACCTAACAGATAGAACGCAATCAGTGTCAGTGCGTGGGGGCTGATTATACACGGCGGGTTTAGGCGGTGCGTGGGGGGGGGGGGGATTATACACGGTGGGTTTAGGCGGTGCGTGGGGGGGGGGGGTGATCAAGAACAGAGCACCAGCAGTGGTAGTAATATAGCAGCCTATGTAGAAGGATGCATCTGGAAGAAATGCATAGGATGTGATCGCATGTGATTGTGGGGTAACTGTGTCTCTCGTGTGAGGAATAACATCATTTTTTTGTATTAAATGGCCACCCGGGACACTAACAGGATGTCATCTCCACCCTGGCCGTACCTCAGAGCCGTTTGGTTAACAGAGAGTGCAGTGTGAATGTGTGGTGCCCTGAAGAAAAAATACGTTCAGGGCACCGTGTGTGTGAATCAAGATAACTAGGAACTATACATGACTGGAGGGTCCTGGCATGCGGAGAATGACACTTGGTTCGGCACTGGGACACGTGATAATAGAAGATTACCAGAACTCGCTTTTGACGTTTAAGCTTTCGAAGGGAACAGAAGCGAAACACCTGGCTACCATGTGTTTACAACAGTACGCTAAGCTGTGAACATAATAATTATTATTACTATACAACAACTGACCTACATGTAACTTACCCATGGCTTCACACATGGCTACAAGCATGTTATCGGGATTGAAAGTGGGTGCCAAGCTCAGCCCGGACAGCAGCAACACATCCGCATTGTGAAGAGCCGCCTGATGAAGCGCCTGGATACGTGCCCAAACACATAGCGCGCACATACACACGCACACGCACACACACACACAAACACACACACACGCACACACGCACACACAAAAAGAACAAAGGGAAAATGAACAAATGTTATTACGGAATACGGCCGTGGCACAACATTTTCTATCCAATGATTGACATCAGAGGGCAGCACTAAGCAGAAGATTACATGAACACTACAAACATACCCTAACCAATCCCTTTCAGAATATCAACACTGAGTGTACGCATCACTTTGTTACCTAAGAACTGTCAGTACAGTCAAACCTATGCCAAGCGACCACCGCCATAATAGCAACAACAGGTTGCATATCCCATTTCCACCGGGTAAACATGAGTGAATTCTCAGCTTGGACCAACGCAGATATTAGCCCTTTGAACCAAAGCTGACCAATAACATCATTTGTTCGTTGCAGCGAGGTGCATGCAAGCGCAGTGCAGCCTTTAACGTGCGCAAAAACATTCTGTGCACAGCTGGCCGAGAAGATCAAGTGGAAATTCAACTGGTCTTCACTCTCAAGCGAGTGTGAAGTGACCGAATAGGAACGAAGGGTACGCCTGTACGGTCTTGAAAACTAGACGTATCAAAGGAAGTCGGTCCGTACTCAAAATTCAATGTATGTTCCCCTAGTACAGTAAAAACCTGGCGTAACCACCGGACACCCTTGGTGCAGTGGAAACTATCCTGATATGACAGGATTCCGCTTGATCCAGGGATGCACACTCGATCCACAGCACTTTGGTGCAAGAAAATGCGTCGGGTCAATACAGGATTTTGCTTGGTACAGGGTCCGGCAAACACAGGTTTTACTGCATTCGTATGTGCACTTTTGGAGGAAAGATGTGTGCCTTGAAAATTGTCCATATTAAGCCCGTGTACATCTCATCCGAGTAACATCCAGAGAGCAGTAACAAAAAAGTATGTACTGCATGTGCGTACACATGAGTTCTCCAGGATTAGCAGAACACTTCTCAGCATCGACTTACCTGGGGATGTGTTGTTAGCTGAGAGGAGGCGCTGAGATACACAAACTGAATGCATGACAAAGACCGTATGCACACACGCATGTAACACAAACACACACACACACGTGCGGGCAAGCCGGGCATGCATGCACACATGCATGCACACATGCATACACACGCACTCACGCACGCACACACACACACACACACACATGCGCGCACACACACACACACACACACACACGCACACACGCATCAACAAAAGTACTGTGCCACTAAAATGCAGTCTACGGGCAAGTCAAAACGAATACAATCATTCTTCTCCAGTACATAATGCCACCACGTCATACCTTGTCGAAGGGAGTTTGCAGCAACCAATTACAGCTACCCAGGCTGGAACCGGAGCTGTGGGGAGTAACTTCAAGAAGACCGAACAAATCCTGTAGCACACAAAAATACGGTACAAACGCTGCATTCAGACTAAACATGGCAATAGAGTTGACATTTCCGGCCAGAGTTGGAGAACAGAAAAAAGATGTTCCGTTGGATGAAATTAAATTTACACAAGAAGCGCACAAGCCACTCTCGAAATTTCAATCAGGCCTTTCGAACCATTACCATTCAAAATTGGTACATTAGTGATACGAGCAGTAGCAAACAAGTCCTTATATCTATTTTTCTAGGCGACTGCGGTCAGAGCAGTGACAAAATAGCACCCAAGAGAGCACACTAAGGACTTGCTTGCTGCTGCTCGTATCACCAACGTACCGATTTTGAACAGTGATGGTGCGAAAGCCATTGCCGAAATTCCCAGTCGATTCTGTGCTTCGTGTGCTAGAATCACAAGTAAGCTTGCAACTTCGGCCGTGAACTAAAACAAAAACAGTAGACTACAGCCGGATCAGCTGAGCCACTTATAGCAAGTTGAAAACTGTTGTCAGCCAAACCTATGCCCATACTGACTGCATCAGCGGGCGCTGTACAACAAGAAGAGAAGAAGGAAGAGAGAGAGAGAGAGAGAGAGAGAGAGAGAGAGAGAGAGAGAGAGAGAGAGAGAGAGAGAGAGAGAGAGAGAGAGAGAGAGAGAGAGAGAAGAGAGAGAGTGAGAAGAGAGAGTCCCACAGCTCTTACCACAGCTTGACCATAGGACACCAGCTCCACACGCTGCACGGCGTCAGCAATCTCCTCCATCCTACCCGGCATTGACACACCGGTCACAACACACGATCAAAAAGCAAAGCAATCAGCATGGAAATTCTGGTCCCATACCAAAGTGAGCGTGAAAGAGGACAGTGAAGCTACAGAACCGTGGCCAGTATCAAATGAATCAAGACTCAGCATGATGAGAACACAAGGCACGACACGGTCTAAACGTATTACTAGTACACTTCCCCACAGAAGGGTTGAATTACAAAGTAACCTGTCATCAACGACCTCCTCATGATACACAGAAAACCAGCTGTTCATACTGACATACCGGTCAGCCTGTATGTGGACGCATGGTCTAGGATCATAGATGACTGGTTTCTCAAGATAGGTAGCCTCTACGAACAGGTGGACTCTACGAACAGGTGGACTCTACGAACAGGTGGCCTCTACGGACAGGTGGCCTCTACGGACAGGTGGACTCTAAAGACAGGTGGACTCTAAAGACAGGTGGACTCTAAAGACAGGTGGACTCTAAAGACAGGTGGACTCTAAAGACAGGTGGACTCTAAAGACAGGTGGACTCTAAAGACAGGTGGACTCTAAAGACAGGTGGACTCTAAAGACAGGTGGACTCTAAAGACAGGTGGACTCTAAAGACAGGTGGACTCTAAAGACAGGTGGACTCTAAAGACAGGTGGACTCTAAAGACAGGGTCTCTAAAGACAGGTGGTCTCTTATTGCAATGGTGACTTAACACAGGTTTCACAACACAACCGTCCAACACATTCCAGGTAGTAGCAATCAGCTAACACATGCACAATAACTTGAATAAGGATTTGCATAGCACAGCACAAGACTTCAGAGGCGAAAAAACGTGGCAGCTACTCACGTGTATAAGTGCTGGAATTTCCCCGTTCGTATAGCATCCTGTACCTCAGGTGGAAGATGCCTGAAAAGACGACATAAGTAGCAACAGCAACATCAATAGCAGAATTCAAAGAACGTTCAGATTCTCGCATAATGGAAAGATTTGATAAGGTTAGGCATAATCAGCTTATCGGGGATTCGTTTCACATTGGATTTTCCGGAGTAGCGACAAGGTAGTTTGTTGACTACCTCACTGCCCGTGTTCAGCAGATTGCTGTAGCAGGGAAACCGAGTTGTTCCCAGTCTTCCACATGTGGTTTGCCTTAAGGCCCCGTACTGGGGCCCCTTCCGTTCAGTCTGCATGCCAGATCCGTCCCATCTGTCTCCGAACCAGCCCACTCCCTGCAGTTTGCTGACAACACTCGTTCCACTGCCATTTTACCGTACTTTCTCGCACAGCTTTGTTATTTTTTTGCGCATCAATCAGTACAATCTACGATACAGTATCCATACGCGCTGACATCGCTGAGCTGGCCACAAGCCACGTGATCCACGAGAAGTCCCCGAAACACGCAGCAGAAAATCAGTTTTGAAAAGTTTGAACAATTTAGTGACACGATCCAACTTTCGAGCATCATATGTTTTTTCATCATTGCTCCTATCGGAAAGGCGATCACACCATGGGAAAAATGCTTGGTACTTCCTCTTCAACCTACATATTTCGATATTAGTAACAGGACTAAAACCAATGGAGCTACGAACGTTTTACCGTACGCAAAAAAAATACCGTTCCATTTCGAACGATGCACCCTAGAGGGTTAAGGAACGCGGGTGCCCGCTGGCAGGTGCACCACACTATCCCCTGCCACCTTAGGCGTGTAGTGTCTGTGAGAAAGAATCATTATAGGTATGATCTAACACTGTATATCGCAAGAACTTACTGTAAACGTGTAGTCATCTCGGGTGAGTTGTCACCTGTTCCTTCTGCATATTGTGCCAATTCTTCCATCATTAGCCTACGACAGCCGGGTAGATTGAAGATTGGAATACAAGAATACAAGACGTGGCGAAAAAGAAATACGCCAGGGAAAAAGAGAGCCGGCAAATTCAAGCGTTTTCATGATCTTGGAAATCTGAAGGCAGGCACATGATCTTTGTTGAGGAAGAGAAGTAATGGAGATGCAGGTAATTGACGCGCACACACACACATGTACACACTCATGCACACACACACACACACGCGCACACACGCACACACACACACACACACACACACACACACACACACACACACACACACACACACACACAGAGTTGGAAAAAGTGTTTATAAAAAAACCCAGGAGTGATAGTGCATGGATCTTACCGGCCGAGTTGGAGGGTGGGCTGCGTAGCGAGTACTCGCCCACGGAATTTCTCATTCTTCACGCACAGAATGGACAAGCGAGGACACAAACAAACACACACGTACACAAACAAACACGTACACACACACACACGCATGTATTCGCACACATGCACAACCGGTACACGTACATGCCATAAGCTAGCCAGCAGAGTCCGTCAAACTACTCCAGATTGAATAAAGACAGCAAGAAGAAGTAAAAGTAAAACCTCTTCTTCAAGAAGAAGTACAAGATTGTATCAGTCTATGCTCACTTAGAAGGTAGAGTATAAGAATCAACATACGCTCCAATTCACTCTACGTTCTACCATTGCGGTCCACACAGCTCAGGAACAGGACAATCGGAACGTGTCAATCATGCCACGAGTGAAGCAACACAACAATAAAACATAAATGATCACGGGCAACATGAAACTTGGAGCAGCGGCACTGGTCTTTGGTCACTGGTCGTCTTCGTAAGGGTGGCCTGCCACCGCAAATGCACATGCAACTCTCCTCTACTGCGTACTCCTGGGTGAGCGCATGATTATCAGCCGCAGAGTAACCACCTGCTCACCTTGACTAGATACGGTAGAGCGAGCAGATACGAGCAGTTCGAGAGTAGCACCGCATCAAAACTGGAAGGATCGAAGAAGTCCAGCTGAGACCATTGAACAAGCAGCACATAACAGACAGGAGAACAACGGACTGTCAAGACAAAAAAACGGGCTTTGCTTTCGAATGTTATTTATTTAACTGAGCCATAAGCAAACACGACAATACGAACACACCAGTGTAAACGGTGTCTGATGAAAAACCTGAGTTAGCACAAACTGGCCAACATTTTACGCCACATGCTGGCTGTACCAAGCCAAGAAACATAACATGATGAAAATCGTGTGAGCTAAAAGCAGCGGGCAACATGCCAAAACATAAACCAACACAACACAGTAGCCACCACCAACAGAAATCAACTTACCACAGGTGGACAAACGTAGGAGCTGCCGCTTGTGCTTGACAAGTCCTTTGAAATGAAGAAAGCAGAACATGACAAAAACATCGCGTTGAGCAAAGCACATGTGGATTCGCTATGCTTCACTAGCATACCAAATACCCAGGCTGTCTGCCGAAGTGTGCAGTGCTTGAGTATGCACACTGGACGTTTAGCCCCGGATTCTCCCCCAAATTTACTCCAATTGCAGATACGGGTAACCAAGGAACAAAAATAATGGGACACGATTGAGCTCTAAAATATAGCAGGAGCGACTTGCAGCGGAGCCAAGCACGCTATTCCATACAACACTGCGTACCATAGAGTGGAGCAATCAACCAACTAATGCGCAACTTGACAGAACTAAACAAGTGTGTGCCATTCATGATCCACAGTTCGATTGTGCATAGTCAGAGTAAAGGTGAATACAAAAGAACCATAGCCTAGGACACTAAATGTAAAAAAAGTCTGAAATACAGTGGTCCATTTAATAATCAGTGCCGGCGATAGCAAAAGGTGGTGTTGACGTGTAGGCGCACAGAAAACCTGTGGGCACCCATACTTACAGCAGTCTGACCAGCGGACGAGCATAGCTCTTTCGAACCTGGTGTTTTCAAGACTGGCCTGGAGAGAGGGGCATGGAAAAAGATAAATGCAAATAGCTAAAAACCCTGGAAAGAAGTCTGAGGGCGACGGGGAGAATAAGAAAACAAAAAGGGGAAGTCCGGTGAAAATTTAAATTTCAGGGTTCGTAGAGTTTGGGGCCTCGAGTCGAATGGTCTTTGTCCGAGGAGGCTGCGGTCTATGGTTCGTCAGATCAAGAGTACATAACCCCCCAGAGTGTGCAACGCCTGATCCAGCTGTGCATAGGGTCTTGGTCGAGCGTAATCGGATCTTTGCGTCATAATACCGTACACATCAGAGAGGAATTCGGGGAGTTGCGGGTAGTCTCGCATCAAAAACAACGGTGCCCTGCCTCGAGACCGGCCTTGCGCTGGTGTGAAGTGTACGCATGACATCAGAAGATCCGACTACGCTCGACCAAGACCCTATGCAGAGCTGCATCAGGCGTTGCACACTCTGGGGGGTTATGCACTCTTGGTCAGATATGCCCAATCGAACATGTGCGAATTTGAGCGCGCATCACCCAGATCCAGGTGATGACGTCACAGCGTGCAGCCAGGTAGCCACACCATCTATTTGTGTACAAAATGGCTGTCATTCAGAACGCGTTCGATTGGGGAACCGTTTGTCGCAGCTTCTTCGGACCAAGACTATTCGATTCAGTGTTACAAACACTACGCACCCTGTGATTTTCAGGTCGGCAAATCTTGAGGTTATCCCGTCTTTTAGCCGTTTCCGAGTTGGACTTTTCCGTCCACCCTGGCCTCTGCGTGCATGCTAGGCTCCAGACTCTAGTCAACAAACTCATCACACACGGAACAGGACTACACTTGTACTCCCGCACTAGTGCACTGCCGTGCTGGTGTCGTGTGGTAGATCTACAAGACTCGATCGAGTCACAAAGACACAAGAGTCAAGACACAGACTTGTCATGTACTACACTCGTATCAATCCATGTACAGTCATGTAGTCAGGGAACGTGCGTTTCTCCTTGCCGGTGGTTGTGCTTTGCATTGAAAGAGAAAATTTTAGTTTTTCGCATGGAATAGTTCAGCCTCAGTTACGCTACAACGATGAGCCCACAACCGTGACAAGTGATAAAACAACGAACAGCTCCCAGACCTAAAACTTTCAGATTCTGTAGTGTTGTGAGCCTTGAAGAGTCGTGCCCGTGGTTCACAGTGCCTGCACTGTTCTCCAATCGAGCAGCGTCCGAAATATGCCAAGTTCGCACCAAAAAATCACCGTGTGGCGGGCCACTGGAGTCCAAGCGAATCGGTATGGAACAACATTTAGAGCACTCGCATCGCTCTTCTCCATTTTGACAACTCTGCTCTGCTCTGAGATCTGATAACTATATCAGACTCATCTGCAATAGCTGCTGCTTCTTCATCAGTGTGAAACGCGGCAGCGCTCACTCTTAACCGGCCCGTGCGGCCATTTCTTCAGCAGAATTAGTTCTCAGCCCAGACCGAACTCATGAAGGTCAGCCATGGCTGCATCCTCACTCTCGCATGGAGTTAAGTCTTTGGGGTCGCTTGCACCACCTACTAAAGGTCGCCAAGTCATTAGAAATAGCACCGACACTATTGCTTTCACGCACTCCTTTTGACCTAGCCCAGGCTAGCTGCACCCTATGACGTTGCAGAGGGTGTGGCGCGGCCGCATGACGTCATGGTGCAGCCCCCGAAACTCAGTTTTTCAAACGGAAATATCTCAAGAACGCTTTGTCGGAGACACGTGGGACCAACACCATTCGACTCAGCGACGGAAACTCTACGGACCCTGAAATTTAAATTTTCACCGGACTTCCCCTTTAAATACGGCGCTTGGCAAATCAGGTGTAAGCGGCATCAAGGCACAGAATGCACAATTTGACTTACACTTCCACAGCTGACCTAGGAGCGAAGTGTGACAAAGGAGAAGTATCCAGGCCGCAGTCCAGCAGCACTGTTACACCTGCCAATCGCAGTGCGTAACTTGGTGCTGTTCGAAAATCACCAAGGCAACACTGCATAGGCACAGAAAAAAGCAACAAAACATTGGAAGTACATGTCAGCTTTAGCAAAATTTCTAATATTCAACTAGCAAGGGACCCATATCCACAACTACTGCAGGAAACAAACATGTTTCAACAAGCTTCCAGAGGATAATTTGTAGACTACATGTACTGGTAAACACAGGACGACAAAAACTCTGCATCGAACAAGGGCTGCCACAGAATTATAGTCAAAGGAGCTTAGGCCACACCAAGTTATTTCTATGTTTCGCGTCACCGCGCGTGTACCTTTTCGAATCCTTGACAAGAAAAAAAGAACCGAGACGAGTCAATCGATGGCTGTTCTGGCGAACATTCTCTAGCCAGTATGGCAGATCAGAGGTTATCAGTTTCTCGATAATCATGCATTCCAGGCGATGGTACGTAGAAGGTGCGAGCGATGAAAATTTATATTTTTCAAAGCCGTCGGCAGGGCCTGCTCACCAAGCGAGCGGAGATTCCAGGTGTCAAGGACTTCGAGATTTTCCACGATCGTGATGGAGCGGAATTCCACTCGACTCACGTCAAAGTGCAGGAGCTATCCATGAAATCTCATATATCGCTCCAGCCCAGTCTGCCAGCTGTCCTGTGGCGACTTGTTGTCGTTTTGGATATGAGTGACAGCTTAGTACAAATGTAGTGCTATTCTGTGTGCAACAATTACATGGCTCAGAAGACATAGAATGGAGTTTTGTTTTTTGTCCTCCCGCCCGCGTGCCTTTTCCAGACAATGTCCGACGCGAAACATAGAATTAAATTGGTGTGGCCTTAGCAGTGACACAAAATTACCAATTCCAAACAAGTCGCAATTACTTGACATGCTAACGGTAAACAACAGCAAAGGATTTCATGAGCAATATTTTAAAACTCACCAAGTCCATGTTGCCTGAGAGTTACGGCGCTCACGCACACCAGACGAAATTAATCTCACTAAGATGCTCCAACCAACCAATAGGCAATAGTTCTTGCTTGATATCTCTGGGCGAGTAGTATAAAACGACAATACTTTCTACAAAATGTTCTTGAGAGACCAATTTCTTTTTTTCAAAGATGCAAAAGGCAGTCGAATCTTGTTAGTTCTAAACAGCCAGCTGGCCAGGGTTGGAGTAACTGATGTAAGAGCAAAACGGACGAGAGAGAAGAAGGAACTGAAAATAGGCGATACGAATCAGGGTGATAATTATGTCGCGATTCAAACGAGAAACAATTTAGCTCACATTTCCGTGCAAGCATTTGAAGCATTCTCGCACAGCGATAAGCCACACTCGCTACACACCAAATAACAGCACATTTGTATTGCGGTTAGGAGGGCCAGAAGTGTGACTGAACTGAAGAGGGAAACATCCCCGACACAAGTTGTTTCACAGAACACATATTTTTCGGTTTTACAAATCTTTTTAAAGGACTGACCGGTTTCGCTGTCTAAGGCAGCTCATCAGAGTGAAGAGAAATGTAAAAACACAACAGAATTTATGCAGGCGAGAGTGGCACTAAATTATACATGGATACAAGTAGGCCGCCAAAATGCTAGGGGCCCCAAGAGCATTGGGAGTTCCTAATTTGGAAGTGCTGCAATTCTGTTATGACATATGTGTAATAATGTGGGCTTGAATTCCAATATGGATGAATGCTTATATGGAACATGCTTTGTAATTATGAACAAGTAGTATGTTGTACATGAAAAAGCATGCAAGCCCAGTTTGTACATTATTTCTGTCTGGTAATGTGTACAGACTTATTTTTGGCAGTGTCAATATTGACACTGCCAAAAATAAGTCTGTACACATTACCAGACAGAAATAATGTACAAACTGGGCTTGCATGCTTTTTCATGTACAACATACTACTTGTTCATAATTACAAAGCATGTTCCATATAAGCATTCATCCATATTGGAATTCAAGCCCACATTATTACACATATGTCATAACAGAATTGCAGCACTTCCAAATTAGGAACTCCCAATGCTCTTGGGGCCCCTAGCATTTTGGCGGCCTACTTGTATCCATGTATAATTTAGTGCCACTCTCGCCTGCATAAATTCTGTTGTGTTTTTACATTTCTCTTCACTCTGATGAGCTGCCTTAGACAGCGAAACCGGTCAGTCCTTTAAAAAGATTTGTAAAACCGAAAAATATGTGTTCTGTGAAACAACTTGTGTCGGGGATGTTTCCCTCTTCAGTCCTCAAGACGACTGGCCAGTCGTGCTCATGCGCAGCGGTTTAGAGAACATGTGAAGATGTACGAGTAAAAAGAAATTGATCAGATGACTGCTCACTTGTGAGAAAAAAACACGAGAAAAAACCGCTGTGACGAGAAAATACTTCTCGCCTCTGTCGCTGCGCTCTGCCGTCGAGAAGATACCATTTATTTGAATGAAAACCTGAGAAATCGCGGTTCTCACGCGTACCTGATGCCATTGTCATCTCCATGACAGCACCTGACTTGGTTGCTGTCTTGCTGAGCATGCCACGCATGCCAAGAGTTCATAACCACCTGAGCTGGGGGTAATGACCTCTTGCTGTATGTCTCCAGTGACTTTCAAGTAACAGCATTGCCCGGTTTGTTTTACCTCTCGACTCTACATCACGCATGGGAACCAGTGCAGCTGTGCTTAGCCAAAGGCAAAGACCCATGAAAACCCCTCCCCTGCTTGTTCGTTTTTTAGGCTTTGCTTGTCTTCTTGCATACTGTATTCACGAGAACGGGCCCGATAATAACCGCCTGGGCAACATTCCGAACAAAACTGTATCATACACTTGCCACTACTACAAGACTTAGTGTAAGACTTAGTGCACTCGCCAGCTTGCGTCGCTTGGGCAGATACCCAATCGGGACGGTTCCCAGTCCGGGCGGCTCCTGAAGACAGTCTGGCCCAACTGAGCAATCCGGGTCACGGATGCTGGTGCTGATCTGATCACCCAGGACCAAATAGGCTCGTCATGTGGAAATGTACATGTATAGTGGCTACAGCTAGCGGTGTCAGAGTTACCGTATCCCCAGGGGCGTACCGGTAGCAGCCGGACCACTTTTTTTCACACAATGCCAAAAGTGCCCAGAATGCAGGATTTTGCACCCTAATTTCAAAAAATTCCCAGGGGAGACCCCCCCCCCCCCGGCCCGGCCGGATCACCTCCAACGGTAGTGCTACGCGCCTGGGGAAGGGAGAGTACTCGTACCAGTATTGGTGTGTTCGGGCTTGTCTGGTCGCCGACTCAGTGCAGCCCAATATGTTCAAGATACGCCGTGATTCGTACATGATTTAGACTGGCATCACATACCGGTACTAGTACACGTCCCGATGAACACAAGTGCATGCAATGTGCAGACACCCAGTGCACCAGTGACACATTCGCAGCAGATAGAGTATGGTAATTACGGCATACGCAGATTCCAAAATCGTCAGTCATTCATAACCATAAATATCATACAAACCAGGGGAGAGTACAAAGAATAAATGCTCGCGGGTAACATTCAAAGATAAAGTTTACTCACAAAGGTATCTAGAATAGAAAAATCTCACAATACTCGTAGAACTTTGACGAAATCAGAGCACAAAAAGGAATACAATATCAATGACTGTTACAAGTCGAAATCAGTGCCCGTCTGTACGATGACTGAGAAACACCAGACAAAGGACTAACAAAGTTCACACACTCGCATTCATGTGAACAGAGACTTCAACTGCTGAACATGAGCCGGAGATAAGATGTACACGAACCTTGAAGTGCATCCCGGCATGGCTATGCTATGCTAGCAAGGATTCCAAAAAAATCTGTACACTGTTCGTGTCGCGAGACTCCATTCTCTGAGTACACGTTCATACATACTTATAAAAATCTTCGTGTTGTTGCTGTGAACGTTATCAATTCATGCATTATTAGTTCATCAAGTCTAAGGTCATACTAGTACATGTACACTTCCAGTTCCTATGAACCGTTATCAAAGCAGCAAAACATGGCTCATTGCATAAAAATCAGATATATTGAAGAGAACCCTAGCAAAATGAATGCCAGAGAAATTTGAACGTAACAGCATTTCATAGTACCGTGACACAGCTGGTCACTACAGTGATGCTGCATAGAATGTGTGGACTGCATATAGCAGATGGACTGCATGCAGAAGATGGGCTGCATACAGAAGATGGACTGCATACAGAAGATGGACTGCATACAGATTGTTCACTGGGTGGCTTGCAAACAGAGTATGTGCGTGGACCTTGCATACTTAGTCATCCAGCTGACAGAGCAGCGCCACGCCACGGTTGATCCAGTGCTTGATGGGTTTGTCGGAGCCGAGCAGGATGGGCAGCACGTAGTTGGTCGAGTGCCCGGTCGTGGACAGCTGACCTCGCCGTGCACTGGTCTTGTAGACAGGACATGAGTAGCGCTGGTCTTCCTTGATGTCAACTTTCTTCTCTGCATGCATGGAACGAGAAACAATGGGGAGAAAGAGAGGAGAGAAGGGAAAGGAGAGGAGAAGACAGGAGGGGGAGAAGACAAGGGAAATGGAATAGCATAGTGTGAGAGTGACTGCCACAGGCTGCTCCGCCGAAAGGACATGCATGGGGAGCCAAGCAGAAGGACTGTTGCAATAAAAAACGTGCCCAGCACAGTACATATATCACATGATATTGCCAACACCATGGCATGGAGCCAGCTGAAACAGAATGACTAACCAGGGATCTGGTTTTGATACAACATGCACAAGCAAAGCCTACAGTAAGTGAAATTATTTTCCAGGTCATTTTTGTTTTAGGCTGCACAGGAGACTATAGTAGCAGTTAGATAGGAGCGTCGGGGAAGGAGCCCAACATTCGCAAAGCCCGTGGCTTCCAAGTGTAATCGGTGAAGACTTCGCTGTGATAAACACCAAGAGCAGTGCGCAATGAAGGAGAAAAGTGGCTGGATAGTGACAAGTGATGGGAAATGTATGTGTACTTCAAGAGAAGAGAAACACATGCGTTCTCGAGAAGGTCGAAGCCAAACAGCTGGACTCACTATTGCCCAATATCTTGAGTGGGCGATTTGCAAGCTCGGTGCACGGACATGCATCTACCGTACTATTATGTGCACTCGGCTGGGGCGAAAATTTATTGATTGAGCTATTATCTTGTACTTACCAGGCTTGAGCCACAGGATGGGCATCTGATCAAACAGACTTTTCGGATGAGACTCTGCAATGACATCCCTGAAAGATGATCACAGCATATGTGCACACAGTGCACAACAGTTAGCACTTCGACAAAGACAATGGCAATGAGTGACGATGTGGCACATGCTTGAAGGAGGTCTCTGCACACAGTAACTACTGGAGGAGTTTACGCCGATGAGTACCCAGGCAGTGAAAGGATCGTGAAGGCTGCATGACAAATCTAGATTGTCTAACGATCGCACTATGTGCGTTAAACTCAAAGCTGCAGCAAGCTAGCCTCCGTTCACTGTTGTTTTGTGTACTATACTCTCTCTCTGTCGCTCTGTCGCTCTCTCTCTCACTCTCTCTCCCTCCCTTTCCCTCCCTCTCCTCCTTCTCTCTCTCTCCCTCTGTCTCTCCCTCTCTCTCTCTCTCTCTCTCTCTCTCTCTCTCTCTCTCTCTCTCTCTCTCTCTCTCTCTCTCTCTCTCTCTCTCTCTCTCTCTCTCTCTCTCTCTCTCTCTCTCTCTTTCTCTTTCTCTTTCTCTTTCTCTTTCTCTTTCTCTTTCTCTTTCTCTTTCTCTCTCTCTCTCCCTCCCCTCTCTCCCTCTCTCTCCTCCCACACAACATCTGAGTACACACAGCACACTGGGGGCATCCATTGTGACCGGCAAACAGGACAAAATGTCATAAAGGTAGTTTCTGGTGACAAACCAGACGATAGATCAAGACAGTAAGACCAACCTCTCTCTGTCCCAGCGACCACCATCGAGGTAGAGCCCATGGATATACACACCATCCTCCGGCGCTGCATCCTGCTCATCCACCTTCAATGCCTGCAAAGAGACAATGTACAACTGTTTAATTAATAACAAGGAAATACACCAATAAAGCTTAACAGGAATGCGACGCGAGCAGTGTTCGCAAATTCGCAATAGAACAGCAACAGTGCCACAAGCAGGATACTCTAGTAAGTATTGACTGTACAACTTTCCCTCGACAGCGTTGCTTTACGACACAGATAACAATATAAAGGAATACGGAATCACCCTGAATCTACATGTATACCCATCACTATCGTGCACAGTGACGCATAGTGCATTGTGGCATTTGGTCCCGTGCACGCTTCACTCACTCCCAGCCTGGCCAGGAGCTGTATTTCAACCCAAGCAGTCTAACAAGACACAAAGCACTGGTATATTTCTCAAGCGGATACTGTGCGTTTTCGCTAAAAGGATGCCGTGTGCAGATAATTCCATGAGACATATTCCTAATAGCGCACAACAATGCACAAGCACTTACCCGGAAGTCAAAGCCCAGCTTGTCGATGGGAATCGTGTATTTTCTGGCATAGTTCTGCATGGCACCTGTCAGGAAGGCCTACATTGGTTGGACAGGACATCACCATGCACGCATACGTGAACACACATCCACACATCCAGTACATACACAGATGTACACGCACACACACAAACACACACACACACAAACACACACACACACACACACACACACACACACACACACATACACAACCCTCAGGCTAGGCTCGGTAATGCAGTCTGATGTGATTCACATCCAGGAGAATTGGAATGTATTTCAGCACTGGCATTACATAGGATCAGATGTTTGTGTTTCATGTCCCAAAAATACAAATGACATGTGTCAGATACGTAACTTATGACAGTGTTACCTGGGTGAAATAGAATCCAGACAGCCAGAAGACAGGCGGCTTGCCATCATCGAACCAGTTCTACATACACACACAGTGGCACGGGAGAGACACAATGGTGTTGAGCAAGATTTATCCGCACGTGCATCAGAATTGCACACAAACCATTGGAACTGATAGGAGAATACCAAGCACAGCACTTGGGGAACACATTAGCCAGGCAAACAACAGTAACAATCTGATGCGACAAGACTCACCTGAAGGAAAGTTAGACGAGCTGCCAAGTCAGCTATGTAGCTGCCGAGCGGCTTCAGACTGGGGTAAGATGCCTTTGCCCATAGCTCCGGCAGCTAGAATATGAATATGAATATGAACACAGAATGGAATACAATGTAGTGCCACATGTCAGTTGCAAATGTGGTGACTGGAATCCTCACCCGTTACAACATTGAATCTAGAGTGTAGCATGGCAACCTACCTTGCCAATTAGCAGGCTGGTGGACAGGCTCTCCAGCTCCACGTTCATCACCACCAAACCCTTGATGGCCTTCCGCAAGTTCTGCAGAGTGGTGCGTATCACACTGGCTAACCTGGAGTGTGATCGAAACACAGAACACACACACGCACCCACACGCACACACGCACACACCCACAGTCCAACAGATATCTATTAAAGAGAGGAAGTCAAACCTACGGGTCGTGTGCGCGTCTCAAACCTGGAGAAACTTGCAGAATAGCAATGCAAAATATCGAAGGTGTTCTGTAAGAATAATAACACCGGTGGTGTGTTGCTCGTGTCATAAAAGAAATGCTGCCGTTTGTCCTTTCTTTTGCAGAACGAGTACGAGTAGTGCGCTTTAATGCTAACAGAACCAAGTGGTCAAGAATGCTTAGGATGTATGCAAGAGACAACACGTATGTCATGCAGTCACGCTCGGATATAACGACATCGATGGTAAACGGCGGAGAATGATGCTCGCAGCATATTGTGTCCAGTGTGCGCTGGTCGGGTGTACATGTAGTCACTTAACAGAAACAAGGGCATTATTGCTCGCTTGCTGCAGCGTCATTATAGTATCATAGCTTAACTGAACTGTGCGCTATGTATGCAGCCCAAAGCACAGCACTAACCGATTGAATCTTTCCATCTCCTGGACGAGCACAGTGTTCATACTCTCGCCGTACGTCACCGGGTATTTCTGCTGCGCGTCTTCAATGTCAAAGTTATCTGGAAGCTACGCATTCACGTGTTCAAAATACGCACACACACACACACACACACACACACACACACACACACACACACACACACACACACACACGTACATGTGCATGCACACCCGCACCCACACACACATACACACACACACGTACACACACGCGAACACACACAGAAGCACCAAAAGTCAAAAAAACAAACCAGTGACTACAATGTCCAGATTTAACCCACAACCTGGGGAGTACCGACATTGTTTTTACACTGCAATTTACCGTCAAAAGTGTGTTGACCTCAAAGGCCCAAAGTGTCCTGAAAAGTGTGCTTTTGCTGCATAGAGGGGGTTTCAACTTTCACCAAACATTAGTGCAGAGCCTGGGCACACTGGCCTGCAACATTCAAAGGGTTACTAGTAACGTTTGCGTCCGCCAGGTGTGATACATGTCTTCTAGCAGTCAATGTTTACAAGAGACTGCTAAGCAGTCCCTGCAACCCGTCCTTCAGAGGCTCCCAACAAACAGACATGCAGACCCACGGAGCCTCCCAACACACAGACACACCAACATACCAAAGCTCCCACCACAGAGACAAACGGACACACAGACAAACAGAGACTGCATGCTAACCTTGGAAAGAATATCACTGGCAATTTCAATCAACTGCTCATCGGCCTTCTTGCCCCCACCACCTCCTCCACCAGTGTTGGACTGGACCTTCAGGACAGAGTCGAACAACTACACAAAACACCAGAGGGCTATAAGTTGAACAGCTGCATATTCAGATAAATCAACGTTGTAAGCGTAGACCCCTATACACAATATCAGCTTAACACATTGTAAGCCAGGTGCAAGTGCACAAAGTCACACACAACACACATAGGAATAGATAACTAGTCTGAAGTGAAACTGGTTCTATCAGGATCGGCTATAGAAAACCGGCATGGTGTGCAACTGACCTCTCTGGTCTCGTGCAGCTCTTTGGAGATGTCCACATTCTCGTGCATGCCAAACACCTCCGGCGTCTGCATCATCGGCAGGGCCTTGATGAACTCCACGTAGCTCTCATAGTCTCCTTTCGGTGGCACTACATACGCACCACTGGGTGAGAACTTGTAGTGGGGGTTTTCAATCACGTCCTTATTGTAGAAGTTTGACAGCATACTCATCAGGCAGCGCCTGCAGATATGCAAGACACATTAAAAAGCACAGCGGTTTTTCTTATTGTCCGTAAACAGTGGAAAGACAGATTATTTGATCGAGCATCAAACTGAGGATGAGCAAAATCACAAACAAAGGCAATCCATTCTCGCACAGTCACCAACAAAGGTTAAATGTTCTCCGGGACAGGATCCAAACTGAAGTCTCAGCAACTTTGCGCCCAAGTACTTTGAAGTTCTTTGCATCCACTTCCAGCATAATGAAAGATTCACTATTCGACCCACACCCACCACGGAGAACTTGAATCAATAGCCACCATCTTAGACCTCAACAGCACTCCCTAATGTTTGGTATGTGCTGCAGCAATGACTCAATCGATACACATAAGTTTCTTGCATGACACACTAGCAACACATAATGAACGCACGGAGATGTACTGACCTGTCCCAGTCATCAGTGACACGACCACCATAGTTACACTGGCCGGTCATGTACGTGATGGCATCGAACGGCACGTCCGTGTACTCATTGATAAATAGCTGAAATCAGTGCAAACCAGAGACATACACACAGAGGATATGCACACACGTATAACAGTACTTTGCCGGTAGGAAGGGACCCTATCCAGCCCAGTGTTAAATGGCTCCACGATAACTTTTTACAATACGAAAGCTAACTGCTTATGGAGCAGCTACCCAAGAGCTACGATACTCTCTGCTGGCACGCTTAACTTGACAGCCCTAGTTGGCAAGTGATTGCCATGTCCATTTACAAGTTCGCACCACTTGTGCAAATCATTCCATACAAGTGAACACACGGGTGCCGTAGACTACCGGTCACGGCAGCATGCCATACCTGCAGCTGCCGTACACTGATACGCAGATCAGACTCGTTGAAGCCATAGGGAATGTTCCAGCCCAGCGGGCCAAACTTCCGGCGCTCTTGGACCAGCGCATGGAAGAAGCACAGGCCATACAGCAGCTTTTCAAATATCTAAGAAGAGCAACGAGAACAACAACAACAACAACGGTAATCACCAGCAATACTCATGAGCACCCAGCAAAGCAATATGCAATAAACTTGACTGGGCTTCTACAAGAGACTGGGCTTGTAATAGAGATAATACGGTACGCATTGACTATTAGTCAACACTGCATGATAATCCTGAACAAGTTGGCTAAGCTCCTTACCGCCTCCTTGCCTTCCTCCACTGCACTGAAGAACTCTGTATCGGAGATGGGATCGCAGATATACGACTGCAGTAGATTCTGTCGCAGTCCAGTGGGAGGCTCATTTGTCATTTTCACGCCGTTTTGCAGAACCGTCACTGGAAACTGCAGGCAAAAGCACCAGGGTGAGAATCCAATGAGTCACATTGCCCCCAAGCATTACCAATGATTTAATGGGAACTTGCGTCAAACTACTAACTCAGAGTGACACCAACCAAACAGGATCGTTTTGATTTAGATTTGTCCTATTCTCACCGTCTTCAAAACGACTCAGATTTGATTGGGATTGGACACAATTCTGATATTCAAAACCTGGGAGAACCCACCATTTACTGGTACATATACCCACACACGCACACACTGTACATGAGTTGCCCACTTACCTTATCAGATGGATAGCTAGTCAGCCAGAGTCTGAAGTCCTTGTTGACCGCCTCAGGATTCATCTCCTCGCACAGCTTTTCCAAGTTTGGCATCCAGGACACAGCTAAATGACAGTTCTGCAGGACTACCCACGTGCCGTCCTTGACAGCATTGTCAATCATCTTCTGAGCAATGGGACCCTGAGCAATGCAACATGGAAGCATGCACATAATGTCAGAGGTTTTTCTTACGATGGCTCATAAACAAATCGGAAAATAAAACGGCCCGATTGATTCTGGTCAAAATTGCACAATCGCAGCGGCGCATTGTATGGAGAACAAACATGAAAGGAATTACTGTTCATACTTTCGCAGAGCTGAACCTTCATGCCACCGTCTTATACACAGCAATATACATAGTCTGAGAGCACGCAGTAGAAGGCGGACAGTTTTTTTTATAAACAATCATCAGATGGAGTAACTGTAACGAATAAAAACTGCCCGTCCCCTACTGTGTGCCAATGCACTGTCTATTTCTACACATCGAGCACTGTTAGGCTGCACTATGGTAGTCTTACAGCATACAGTGTACTGGAAAACCGGGAATTTTCGGTGGTGTAATATTTCCGGTATTTCCCAAAATCAACGGTTCGGTAGCGTGAAAATTTCCGTAAACCAGTTTTCCAAATCCAAAAATGCATTTTGCACACTGTGTGGAATGGCATGGTTGGATTTTAGGTAAAAATTACCTGTACCGAAGTTTACGAAAATAAATCTCCACCGAAATTTTCCGGTTTTACAGTAGCTGCAAGTAATTGAAGCAGCACACAACAAACATCACACTGCACACTGGAAAGTAACAAGCATACCTGTCCCTGGCCCAATGAGATAGCGTTGAACTTGTCACCGTCAAACTTCCGATCTGCAGCAAACTTCAGCAGCCCTGCAATAGCAACATAGGATAGCACAATTAGAGTGAAGCGATCTGTTTAGGCACGTGTTGAGTGCCATTTTATCGACTACATGTGCATAGAGAGCTGCACATGGAGTCTTCAAATTAGCATCACATCATTCACATGTAAACTACATGTGTAGTCATCACTGTAGGAAATTTGTACCCAATAATCAAATGTCTCTCCCTTTCTCTGGCCACTCACCAGCCATGGGATCAGCACCAGGGGATAGTACAAAGATCAGCGGGATGCACGCATTGGAGTCTGCATAGCTCTTCGACAGGTCGAACGGAGGCGGCTGAACGTAGCGATCACCGAGCTTCTCCTCTACGAACTTCACAACCAGTGGCACCACCTTGTAGACAAGAACAGTATAGACAAGAGACACAGAGGGAGTTGCATAGAAGATAACACACATAATATAAGGGAATGTACATGTAGAGGGGCGAGGTATCCTGCATCTTCGTAACTCCATGAGAATTTTGAACAGATAATATGCTCTTTTCCTCAGAACTGAAAATTCACAATCCAGTACACTGTACCGATTTCAACGAATGTTTCAGCAAATCACCATCATCAGGTTACGATATTGTTGTGAGTTTGCAGTGCTAAGGGAAAGAGCATGTGTGCTCGAAAATTCTCATGGAATATAAGGGAAGCTGCTCAAAATTAAGAGAGATGAGAGCCATTGTTGGACCTCTGAGTTACACAGATGAGATCATCAATGGACACTGATTGTACTAACTCAAGAGTTGTCTCAGAGCAACCTGCTGCTTTTCTGATTCTATACAGAGACAATCTTTACCCAATCCACTGTGTCAACACAAACCATATTCCACCGTGTGCTAAGAGCCAGAGCGGAGACAAACTGACCTTATCGGGACGCAGACAGCGGATGACTATCATGCGCTGGAAGACGTTGAGCTTTTCATTGTACGGTGGAGGCAGCTCACAGTTCTGTGGCTCTTTGCTGTCGTACACCAGCTTCCACTGGTTTGTATGCTTCGCAAACTGCTTTCTATGGGACAAGAGTGACATGAACGAGAAAAAGCATGTTTCAAACAACACACAGTTGTAGATTGGGAGCAAACCAATTTCAAGTAAAGTGGATAGGTTAAAAAACAAATGCAACGGGAATCACGACCGACTTAACATAGTACAAATCGGATATTTGCTCCGTTGACCTAAGCTTGGTAGACATGGGGCAATTGGCATGGCAGAGAAAACGACCTAATACTTGAAGTAACAGAATTCACGATAACAAACTACTACCAGTAGTAATGCTTACATGAAGCCCTTGAATGCTGGCAAGTCACTCATTCTGCAAATCTCATCCCAACTTCTGTCGGATAGCCACGATGATGCTGGATTTTCCAACTAAGTAAACAGATCAACAGACATGAACAACTAATCACATGGCCATAGTGATACAACAAGATACAAAACACCAATACACAAGATGAAAACTGTTCACTAAGAACACAGTTTGCTCCATTGAAGCCGCCACGTACTGAGATTCTCTTCCACTGGAAACAGCTCTACATTGGCATCGCGGTACAATGTCACTACACTGCATCCAACACTCAATAAATTCGACCATGAACACTACTAGCCATACCCACCTACCTTGTTATCCAAGCCAATACCTCCTGTCAGGAAGAACATGAACTCTTCCTGATCCAACTCTTTCTTTGCCCTACAGGAATGAAAGCACATGTACAAGCAAGAACTCTCCGTTAGCAACTTTGCACTGTTAGCCAGCGTAATCTATTGAGTCATGTCACGAGATGTGAAGTTCTGATGTCGCAGCACTGGGTAGAGATTGTACAGGAAGGTCCACAATCTTCGGGTTTTTTTTAGGGCTGAAACGATTATACCTCGGTAAGCGATCGATAATTCCTTATCAATGAAGTAATCGTTACGTTATAGATTACTCGTAAGGGATTTTGAGTCCAAAAAGTGCTGAAAACCCTCGTTTCGTGAAGTTTGAATCAGTTCCCACTGTGAGTCTGCAGTTGCCTGGGGCATGGTGCATATTCTGAGGTTAAATTGACTTCAAAACTGCCATGTTTCGGAGCTACCCTGTCACTAATGCAGATTTTTGGTATTATGAAGGCCTAGCTTTTGGAAACAGAGTAATGTTTGCACAAAATTCTGACACTACTTGCTAATGATTATAATCGATTAATCGATCGTTAGGCTAAAGAGTAATCGATAGGTGAAAATAAACGATCGTTTCAGCCCTATTTTTTTTACTAACGTTAGCATGCATTGCTAATGCAAGTTAGAAACCAGCCCAGCGAGCTGGCCCAATTTTCGAGTGACGTGGGCATGCGCCGTTCAAGATCCCGCGCAATGTATCTTGCACTGTCATTGCTGTTTCGACTCTCAAGCTTGCAACTGCAGAAGATGTCCAGCACAGCGTTCTGTGAAGCACTACAGTGCGTGTATCGTGGCGTGCGGGTTCACACCGAGTATACGGCGACTGTCAATGTTATCGGAGGGGCAGGTGCTGTGCTTGGGACAGGATCAGCCAATACCACCACGCCAAACGTTCCAGATGTGGTAGATAACCGTGTCGTTGATGCGGTGTCACGCGATGAGATGGTCGTGAACTGGACTGCTCCGCAGAGTCTGTGCGTGCTAACTAAGTGCCCATCAAGTACTGTCTACCTTGCACAGTCAAGAAAATTCTCATCTCAACTGATCCCAAGAGCAACCTCGTGTGAACAAGGTAGGTTGCTTTATTATCTTTTTCAACAAGTGTGCATTTTATGTGTATTTTAATTGCGTTTTACTTCTTGTGTCTTTTCAGATGACACGTATGGTGACGCAGAGTGTTATCCAGTTGAGCTTCAATGGGCCAATAACCCGGAAGGCCGGGCAGAGCAGACCCAGGATGCCGTAGGTGAAACTGTGTGCTTTTACCGCGCTGCCAATCTTGGCGGTGCTGCAGGCGTGGCTGCCCTTCATCCACAGTGGCGCGAAGGTGTTGTCGTTCGGCATGATGTGCAGGAGGGAGGATTTCTGCTGTATGAAGTTGAGGTCGATGACGGTGGGGCCAAAGCTTCCTTCGCAGGAGCTCATCTGCGGCCCCGTCATGTGTCCCCTGTGCGCGTTTGGCACAATCAGTTTCTGGACCCCGTGCCAGAAGACTGGTACAGGGGTCCAGAGCCATACCGAGGACCCGCTCGGAAACGCTATTATCAGCGATGATAACAATTCACTGCATCAATTGTGCCTCTTTTCCTCGTTCCTCTTCTGTGCTATACATAAATCCTTGGCTCTCCATCAGAGCCTATTCCCTTTCCGGTCCTGGTTCTTCTTATTGTTTTCTTGGCGTGTGTGTGGGTGCCGGTGTGTCTGTGTTTGTGCATGCATGCGTGCTAGGCCTAGTGCGTGCACAATAATTTGAGAACAATACATGTATGTTCCTCAATAGTAGTCTCAATAATTTTGGACTGTGTATAGTGGATGCCTAGTTGGCTGGACTTTGTACAGGGAGTGTTGTCCACATAAAGACTCTTTTTAGTGAAGCCAATTGGCTGGACTCTATACAGAGAGTGATGTCCATCTAAACTTTGAGCTCATAGTTGATTCCAAGTTTGGACTCTGTACAGTGGATTTTGGACCAATAGACTCTATATAGGGGTTGGACATCGTATAGGGGCTGGACGCTATACTGAGTCCAACATATATATTTCTACATTGCAACTGAAAAGCAAAGGAACACTGAGATCAACATCATGATTTGGGCAGTGTACAGAGAAACGCTGGAGACACCATCATCTACCACAGCACAGACAAAGTCTGATGCCATGACTTCCCCACCGCAAACAACTGGACGTTCGCAAAGCAGCACCATCGGCTCGCCTGGAAGCAGACACAGCCCGCCTGCCACGCCTGCTGATGTAGTGTATTACGCGTCACACGCTATTGCCCTGAACACTCGGCGCACATACAAGGCCCAGGTGGGCCTCTGTGTCCGCTGGGGAATGGTAAGCCTCTATCCCGACCGGCATTCACGGCAACTGTGAGGATGCTGCTCACCAGTTGCGGCGTTGACTCTGCGTTGTACGCCAGCCACTCGTTCCGAATAGGTGCTGCCAGACTCCATAATCAGAGGGGTGGGAAGATGGAAGAGCGATGCCTGCCTGTACATTCATACAACGGCAGCCAAGGCAGTGGCTGCGGCAATGGCCTTAGCCCCTGATACCAAATTCTGATATTTAATCCTTTGCCTACAGTCCATTCATAAAAATATGGACTTCTAGGTTTTGGCCATACATGGGTCAAACTTTGAGCTCTGACACAAATAACGGAACTGGTTCGGATGTGCAGCGCTATGGGAATGGGTGTTTCCACCCGAATTCCTTATTTCAGAGATGAAGCTGCAGGAAGCCTCAGCCCTTCTTCAAACTTATTTTAGAATTTTTCTGCAATCCCCTGTGGAATCCTCTTCCAATTATGTTTCTGAAGTCGATTTCTCCAAAAAGCAAGCCCTAACAAGAATAGGATTTCGGCCAGGTTTTGCCCCAAAAGCACTGAATTGGAAAAATATCAAAATCCAGCCGACCCCGCCAGGTACCCTTTTTGGACCCTTTTTCAAATTTCAAATTTTGCAGCACTGCACTGTGTACGATAAAGTCGCCAAATACAGGTGCTTGCCAGAGCCAGGGCCCATCTTTTCACGAATGGACTGTAGCTTGCACGGGTAACTGCTCTTATGGCATGTTCCGTGAGCGCCGATTAATGGAATACATGCTCTCAACTGGTTATCGGCATACATGCCGGCTTTGAGTATCAAAGCCAAGTTAGCCCACGCGGGCACATGCGTAGTGATGGTCTCATGATGCATATCATTAAATGTTGGGTTAGCTTTTGGGCTAACCCTAGTTAGCGATAAGACCGATGCGCTGCTCTCTATCTCATGCTAGCTGCGACCGAGCTGGCTTTACACGTGCACTCAACTGCTGCGCATGCGCGCCCAAATCGCCTTGGGTAGCTCTTGCTGCGCTGACTTTGGCTTGCGCTTTCCTTTGCAGTGTCACTGAGCAGCAACCGGAATTTGTTTGCCACCCACCCTCCCATTCCCACATTATATAGGTGGGAACAGCTTCCTTCAACTGGTTGCTTTGCTGCTACTATCTCTGCTGAAAATTGCATACTATTGGTCGGCTGTTTGCGACGCCAATCAGTAGTCATTGCACCCGGTCGCGGGTACTATTGCCGCTCAAGCATGAGCGATTGCTTTGGCCGTTTGCAACGCCAACTGCTTCACCCTGGTTGGCTGTTTGCAACGTCGATCAGGGAACTTTGCACCCGGTCGCGGGTACTGCTGCAGCTCAGTCGTGAGCGATCACTTTGGCTGTTTGCAACGCCAATCGCTTCACCAGTTGATCGAAACCAGCACACTGGTGTACCCCAATCATCCTTGTGCGGTGTTGCGAGAATGCGTGGGTATGCATGCAGCTTTGCTCTGTGACTTTCCATTGCATGTAGTCACTTGGCTCTCCCATTTCCTATACACTGCTCTGATGCATTCGGGTGCAAGCGCTAATTATTATTCTGTGCCGAGTATGGTCTGTAATTTGCATTTTTTGCACTGCTGCTACTGTTGCCTTTATGTGCGCTGCAGTAGCTAGTCGAATGCAGTTTGGTTGTCTTTTCCTTTGGACAAGAAGTGCTTTCCTTGTCAGGCTGGTAATTTCTCTCCCTCCCTCCCCCCCATTTTGCACTCACTTCCTGTGCCGGGAGGGCCACGTATACATGGCTGCTGTGTTGCTGCTGCAATGTTGTGGCAGCGGCATCTTGATGTGATGGACTGATGTTGTAACAGTGTACCCATTTGCTGTTGCTGGGTACCGTAGTTTGTCAGTTGTGCCTGTTTGAAGTTGCCAGGCCAGCTTGTATTGGTGCGTTCCCGTTTGCTGTTGCCGGGACACCATGTTTGTCACGGCGTACCCGTTTGCTGTTGCCGGGGCCGTGTTTGTACTGGTGCGTTCCCGTTTGCTGTTGCCGGGACACCATGTTTGTAACGGCGTACCCGTTTGCTGTTGCCGGGGCCGTGTTTGTACTGGTGCGTTCCCGTTTGCTGTTGCCGGGGCACCATGTTTGTAACGGCGTACCCGTTTGCTGTTGCCGGGGCCGTGTTTGTGTTGGTGCGTTCCCGTTGAGTTTGCCGGGGCACCATGTTTGTAACGATGTACCTGTTTGCTGTTGCCGGGTGACATATTTGCCAATTGTGCTTGTTACAAATTGCCGTGCTGTGCGCGTTATGAGGTAATAAGAATTATGAGCCATGTATTGGCTTGCTGTGCCCAATGCCAATGGCTCTTGCTAACACGGCAATTTGCTATCATTGGTGATATTTCAAAGAGTGACAAATGTGAAAAAGATAATGGCAAACCCCCACAACTAGGTTCTATGCTTGGTGTGCTGGTGCGAGCAAGTTTTGCAAGCATATTGCAATGTGGAATACCTGCGTGTGTACATAATATTATTATGCTTGGCCACAGGGCCTAGCGGGTGTGTGCACACACACATGGGTGTGCGGTGGCAGGTGCATGCATGTGGGTTAACTATATTTAGCATTTGGCGGCTCTACTCAGAGTCATTTGGCAGCTCCATGCAGAGTCATTTAGCGGCGATAGCAATAGCCTCGTCGTGCATAAGAAGCCAGCAAGAGTACATAACCCAAAAGAGTGTACAACTCTGCATACGGGGTCTGGCGCGGCATGCTGCCTGCATGACGTAGCCACGAACTGTGGGCCATTGCGTCATTATTGATCTGCTACGGTTTCCTGATTCCGAATCCGCTTTCCCCGGAGACTTGGAATGGTTACGTATGTTATGTGCCATGCACATGCATTGCTTATGCACTTACCGCATTGCACGTGACATCGTTGAGGCTAAGGCCCTCTTCAGGCGAGGGTCAAAACAGCCTATACGTCACATTTACATAGAAGTTTCCAAGACAACTACAAGAATCTGGCTGGAAGCCTAAAAAGCTGCCCAAACCTTTCAGGCAGGGTGCGAACCCTTGAACAAGGCAACTTTCCTGCATTTATCGTATATTCACCGGGCAGCCGTACAAACGTACACACTTTGTACGACTCCCTGCCTTCACACATCCCCTTGCGCAATTCCGAAGGAAAACTCAAATCCAGGCAGCTGGTTCGTCATTTCACAACGTAACGAAGGCAGTGCGCTGCGCAGGGCACCCATAGCTCGGAGATCAGAGTTGCACACTCTTGGGCTTATGTACTCACACAACCTATGTATGCTGGAGCATCTGGGGCTTTAGCTTACTGGACTAAGACGGATAGTCTCCGATGGACGCATGAGGTTTTAATTATACGAATGTGTTTAGACAGAACAGCAAGCAGGAGAGTGCATACTGGTTGACTGACCTGAGTAAGTTGCAGCAGAGAACAAACGAGAACAGTAGCTTGTCTTTCTCGAACAGAGACCGGCAGATGTTGCAATACAGGTTGTAAGTGAAGTGGTCGGTGAGGTTGCGCAATCGTCGCTCTAGGTTTTTCGATTTCAGACTGGAGACATTGAGACACAAGGCCACAAGAAAACAGCAAGTCAGTGTAAAACCGAACGCTGTGTTAGGTCAGCACAAGAACGCAGTAAAACTACAGCACTGCCGGGGTGTACTGTAGAACGGAGTGCCGAAGAACAAATAGGCTAGGATTTCACCAAGCACAGCATACCAATGTATACATGGTGACTAAACTGTGCATAGACTGTAGTGCATGGAAATAGGAACGCCCTATGCTAGGAGGCTGACCCCCAGTTCTTCAGCACCCGGCAGTACGGTAGCAAAACATAAAGACCAATCAGACACCTGATAAGACCAGTGTAGCTTGGTGTTCTGGAATGCATGGCCCGTCAGCCAAACATAAAGACCAATCAGACACCTGATAAGACCAGTGTAGCTTGGTGTTCTGGAATGCATGGCCCGTCAGCTGGAAGGAACATCCCTAAACAAAAGCCAAAGTTTGGCGTGGATTAGCAGATCCGGTGACCTTGCGTGCCGAAAAGGTAGGGTAGACCGATCTAGACAGGTACGTTCTTAGTCCCCACAAGTTGCCTGTGTACTGGAATATGCGTAGTGGGGAAAATCCTAAACTTTTGCAGCATTAAGTTCAGTTTGGTTCGCAAGATCATTGAAATCTTTTATTCTCACGATGGCCTGTGGCCAACAAGAGAAATCATTGTCGTCAACATTGAAATGATCGGCTCAGCAAAAGAGCATTGCATGCGGGAGCACTGCCATTGAGCATGCACATTGGGGAACATATCGTAGCTCACAGCTTGGATGCACTAACCTGTCGCTGATGGAGTTGATGAACAGATTGACAAACCACGTCAAAGAGTACTGGTACATGGGGTCGATGTTGGGCAAGTCAGTGATTGAGAAGAACAATACGGAGCCATGCTGTGCGATTGGTCGATAGCCGGCTCGAGAAGCGTCGATCTTCTTCTCTGTCTCTTCTGCAACCTTTTGCTTCTTGCTGATTTCATTGGATAGAACCTAACAGCAGGCAGGCAACCAGGCAGGCAGAGAAAGAGAGAGAGAGAGAGAGAGAGAGAGAGAGAGAGAGAGAGAGATGGAGAAAGAGAGAGAAAGAAAGAAAAAAAGCAGAAAGAGAGAGAGAGAGAGAGAAATTTCAGGCCTGGCATTCATACTGTTTCACAATCAACTATTGCCTGCCTTGCGATGCATTCACTTACAAGTGCAAAAAAGTGCATGGTATGTATTGGGTGAAAGGAGATAAGTAAACAGAAAAATCAAGAAAAATGTGCAAGGCGAGGAGCAGCCGCAAGCAACAGACACCATGGACACCCTTCCTCGTAGCGGAGCATGTCATTGGGGTCATCACAAAGGTTTGCTCCATGAAAATAATTCCCTTTACAGTAGCCGTTTACGCACAGAATTGAACAGCATCGACACCCATACTAGCTAGGCAAAAGTACATACCCCTACACTGTACCTCCAACCCACCTTTGAAGAATCAAGGATAGTAATGGCCGACTCGTCCTCGAGGATGTTACCCTCGGACGACGACAGGGTTTCTAGGATCTTGTCCTCGATTTCCTTCAGCTGCTTCTTGTTGGCAGCGCTCTGGACGATCAGTGCATTGCGCTCTTCTTCCAACTCAGGTCTGGAGACAGAACATATGCACACGACAGATTCACAAGAATATTGTAGTGGGCCAGTGGGTCTAATCTACTCACGTCCTGTTGCTGCTTTAGGAGCTACACCGTACGCCTTGATGCAATGAGCTTCCTACCAACGCGAAACAATCAGCTTGGCTGAATCTAATGCAAGCCGTGGACTTTCTAAAGTTGAGCTGTTCACAGGCCTGACAACAGGCCGTCAGCTATGCACTATTCAGGCGCAGTTGCACAACGTCAACGTTTGGGATCCTTCCCTATTTCTCGTTGAGCAGGACAAGACAAAGTTTACTAAGACTAGAGAGACACAAGGGCATATCTCATGCCAGCAGAAAGCAACCATGCCAGACTATGTAAATAATGGGGCAGACTCACCGTTCCTTTGCAACTACAATGCCCAGCAACTGATCTTCCAAACCTTCGGGTGTGATCATGAAGTTCAGCAGTGTCACCTACAATCAACACGTATACACGCACATAGTAGCAACATCATCAGCCAGGGCCTGTTACGACAGCAAAGGCTCGTCAGGAAAATTGTTGGCACGCAGCAATGTTCTCAGGCTCATGCATTGTACATAGCATATAGATATAAATGCACAAAATGAAATTTACAGTTTCTGTAACCTCTCGTGCACATCTATTACCTTGGTGGCCAGCTCAGGCAAGTAGTGAGGGTTGCGCAATTTCGTTGTGACGTAGAAGCGGAAGTCGGCCGAGTATTCAATCACGGTGTCGCCAAGACGGATACAGTTCACACCACCTGCATACAAGAACACATGAAAACGTATTACAGTAAACCGGCAAAGTGCTGCGAAGAACAAATTTATAGGAAAGTGTGTTGCTCCCCACACTGGAGCTCGCGCTTTCTCTCCAACTTGACTTGACAAAATTGGCAATTTTATTCCGATTGTGTTGATAAACGATTGAAGATTTTATCAAAATACATGACAGAGCACTAGGAATTAGCGATGTCAAAACCTTAGTGAAGTAAATCAATTTGCTAAAATCGCTGAGGGTTCTCTGTCGTTTACAGGTTTGCAGTTTACAGCCAACAAACACACACATGGACACAGACAGATGCCAGCAGACAGACAGACAGACAGGAAGACACACACACACACATACACACTGGCTTCTGTAAAGAAAGGTGCAGTACACTCGGCACTCACCTTGTTTGAAGGTCTGCTTGAGCAGTAGCGGTTCCAGCGACGGATCGAGCTCTTCACCAACATTCTCTAGCAGCACGGGGTTGCCAAACTGGATGCAATTCTCCAATGTACGCATGTAGTCGGAGTCCGTCAGCTTTACAACCTGCAATCCCCGCTTGCCTTCGGAGTTTTTCACCCACTTGTTGGCCTGGCCCTGCGGATCTATCATAAGAGGCCTGGTTGAGCAGTGAGCATAAAGACAAAAACACAACAATGGGAACAGGATACAACTTTGGACAGCGAAACTAAACAAGAGAAATATTCCAGACCAATTCATATCCAGTACAGTAGTCTTCAGGTAATGCACATGCACATGCACACATATCCACGCAATTCAATTCAATACAACACAGCACAATAATGACAATCCGCAAGGACCGACAGTGTTCCAGTCACAAAGAACAGAACTTTGAATGGTGAAAAAGGTCTGAAGAAGGGCCGAGGCTTCTTGCAGCTTCATTTCTGAAATCAAAATTTAATAAGGAATTCGGGTGGACACGCCCATTCCCATAGCGCTGCACATCCGAACCAGTTCCGCCGCTATGTGGCTTCCGCTGTGTTCAGTGTTCCTATTATCTGATGATGACCGAGTGCTGAAGCATTGTGAAGTAACGGAACTGGTTCGGATGTGCAGCGCTATGGTAATGGGCGTGTCCACTCGAATTCCTTATTTCAGAGGTCAATAGGGTCCTGTCAAAAGCAAAAATCTCAGCAAACGAAGTCTCAAGCCCGAGACACATGTTAAGCCGGCTAGATGGTGACAAAGGCCAGTCTCTATTCACGACGGTCCACACGCATACACACGCACACACGCACGCACGCACACACACACACACACACACACACACACACACACACACACACACACACACACACACACACACACACACTACTACTACTACTACTACTACTACTACTACTACTACTACTACTACTACTACTACTACTACTACTACTACTACTACTACTACTACTACTACTACTACTACTACTACTACTACTACTACTACTACTACTACTACTACTACTACTACTACTACTACTACTACTACTACTACTACTACTACTACTACTACTACTACTACTACTACTACTACTACTACTACTACTACTACTACTACTACTACTACTACTACTACTACTACTACTACTACTACTACTACTACTACTACTACTACTACTACTACTACTACTACTACTACTACTACTACTACTACTACTACTACTACTACTACTACTACTACTACTACTACTACTACTACTACTACTACTACTACTACTACTACTACTACTACTACTACTACTACTACTACTACTACTACTACTACTACTACTACTACTACTACTACTACTACTACTACTACTACTACTACTACTACTACTACTACTACTACTACTACTACTACTACTACTACTACTACTACTACTACTACTACTACTACTACTACTACTACTACTACTACTACTACTACTACTACTACTACTACTACTACTACTACTACTACTACTACTACTACTACTACTACTACTACTACTACTACTACTACTACTACTACTACTACTACTACTACTACTACTACTACTACTACTACTACTACTACTACTACTACTACTACTACTACTACTACTACTACTACTACTACTACTACTACTACTACTACTACTACTACTACTACTACTACTACTACTACTACTACTACTACTACTACTACTACTACTACTACTACTACTACTACTACTACTACTACTACTACTACTACTACTACTACTACTACTACTACTACTACTACTACTACTACTACTACTACTACTACTACTACTACTACTACTACTACTACTACTACTACTACTACTACTACTACTACTACTACTACTACTACTACTACTACTACTACTACTACTACTACTACTACTACTACTACTACTACTACTACTACTACTACTACTACTACTACTACTACTACTACTACTACTACTACTACTACTACTACTACTACTACTACTACTACTACTACTACTACTACTACTACTACTACTACTACTACTACTACTACTACTACTACTACTACTACTACTACTACTACTACTACTACTACTACTACTACTACTACTACTACTACTACTACTACTACTACTACTACTACTACTACTACTACTACTACTACTACTACTACTACTACTACTACTACTACTACTACTACTACTACTACTACTACTACTACTACTACTACTACTACTACTACTACTACTACTACTACTACTACTACTACTACTACTACTACTACTACTACTACTACTACTACTACTACTACTACTACTACTACTACTACTACTACTACTACTACTACTACTACTACTACTACTACTACTACTACTACTACTACTACTACTACTACTACTACTACTACTACTACTACTACTACTACTACTACTACTACTACTACTACTACTACTACTACTACTACTACTACTACTACTACTACTACTACTACTACTACTACTACTACTACTACTACTACTACTACTACTACTACTACTACTACTACTACTACTACTACTACTACTACTACTACTACTACTACTACTACTACTACTACTACTACTACTACTACTACTACTACTACTACTACTACTACTACTACTACTACTACTACTACTACTACTACTACTACTACTACTACTACTACTACTACTACTACTACTACTACTACTACTACTACTACTACTACTACTACTACTACTACTACTACTACTACTACTACTACTACTACTACTACTACTACTACTACTACTACTACTACTACTACTACTACTACTACTACTACTACTACTACTACTACTACTACTACTACTACTACTACTACTACTACTACTACTACTACTACTACTACTACTACTACTACTACTACTACTACTACTACTACTACTACTACTACTACTACTACTACTACTACTACTACTACTACTACTACTACTACTACTACTACTACTACTACTACTACTACTACTACTACTACTACTACTACTACTACTACTACTACTACTACTACTACTACTACTACTACTACTACTACTACTACTACTACTACTACTACTACTACTACTACTACTACTACTACTACTACTACTACTACTACTACTACTACTACTACTACTACTACTACTACTACTACTACTACTACTACTACTACTACTACTACTACTACTACTACTACTACTACTACTACTACTACTACTACTACTACTACTACTACTACTACTACTACTACTACTACTACTACTACTACTACTACTACTACTACTACTACTACTACTACTACTACTACTACTACTACTACTACTACTACTACTACTACTACTACTACTACTACTACTACTACTACTACTACTACTACTACTACTACTACTACTACTACTACTACTACTACTACTACTACTACTACTACTACTACTACTACTACTACTACTACTACTACTACTACTACTACTACTACTACTACTACTACTACTACTACTACTACTACTACTACTACTACTACTACTACTACTACTACTACTACTACTACTACTACTACTACTACTACTACTACTACTACTACTACTACTACTACTACTACTACTACTACTACTACTACTACTACTACTACTACTACTACTACTACTACTACTACTACTACTACTACTACTACTACTACTACTACTACTACTACTACTACTACTACTACTACTACTACTACTACTACTACTACTACTACTACTACTACTACTACTACTACTACTACTACTACTACTACTACTACTACTACTACTACTACTACTACTACTACTACTACTACTACTACTACTACTACTACTACTACTACTACTACTACTACTACTACTACTACTACTACTACTACTACTACTACTACTACTACTACTACTACTACTACTACTACTACTACTACTACTACTACTACTACTACTACTACTACTACTACTACTACTACTACTACTACTACTACTACTACTACTACTACTACTACTACTACTACTACTACTACTACTACTACTACTACTACTACTACTACTACTACTACTACTACTACTACTACTACTACTACTACTACTACTACTACTACTACTACTACTACTACTACTACTACTACTACTACTACTACTACTACTACTACTACTACTACTACTACTACTACTACTACTACTACTACTACTACTACTACTACTACTACTACTACTACTACTACTACTACTACTACTACTACTACTACTACTACTACTACTACTACTACTACTACTACTACTACTACTACTACTACTACTACTACTACTACTACTACTACTACTACTACTACTACTACTACTACTACTACTACTACTACTACTACTACTACTACTACTACTACTACTACTACTACTACTACTACTACTACTACTACTACTACTACTACTACTACTACTACTACTACTACTACTACTACTACTACTACTACTACTACTACTACTACTACTACTACTACTACTACTACTACTACTACTACTACTACTACTACTACTACTACTACTACTACTACTACTACTACTACTACTACTACTACTACTACTACTACTACTACTACTACTACTACTACTACTACTACTACTACTACTACTACTACTACTACTACTACTACTACTACTACTACTACTACTACTACTACTACTACTACTACTACTACTACTACTACTACTACTACTACTACTACTACTACTACTACTACTACTACTACTACTACTACTACTACTACTACTACTACTACTACTACTACTACTACTACTACTACTACTTGAGAACGGTTTTATTCACAACACCATGAAGTAAGAGTCAAAGCAAAAAGACAACCCAATTTCGGAATAAAATAGAACACTCAATTGAAATATAAAACTTTGAACTCAAAAGCTTCACACGAAATCATCACCTAATAACAATGCCTACGGGCCTACTACTACTACTACTACTACTACTACTACTACTACTACTACTACTACTACTACTGAAATGTGTTTTTATTGAAAGCACAAAGCAATGAAGATGTGAATGCAAGGAGGGCAATGAATTCAAAAGGCGAACAGCAAAATTGTAACAAAATAGAAAGGTAACAAATATTAATGGCAACAGCAATGTTTATACATGAAAAAGGGGAAAGAAAAGGAAAGAAAAACATCCAAACCAGAATTGCTTGAACACCGCCAGAAATGAAACCGAGATTCATACAGAAGAAAAAACTTCAGGACACCGGAAAACAAACTTTAGATCACATTTTGACATTATGCGAGATGATGACAAAGAAAAACTATGCCCTAGAGAGCACACGGCAGTCATTCACAAAGCTCGCCGAGCGCTTAGAGCGATAGGAGGACCTAGAGCCACGTAAACAGGTGATACACCAGCGAAGTAGGCAGAATGACAAACGGCATCGCAAATGATTGACAACAACAGAATACACCAAATCAGCATTTTTCTCTAGAATACGGCTAACCAATGCCTTCAAAAACACGGAACACTCCTTCCCTATCATGCCGTTGGTCGCAAATACCAGAGGGGTGAATGTGCCCCGATCGATCTGATTCACTCGCTCTGCGTAATGCCGCTTTTTTTCCCGCTCATTGCGCTCCAATTGGCTCATGGCTTTTTCACGAGACAGCAAAGTGGCCCTGGGATGCGTTACCCGGATATCGAAGAAGGCCTCCTGCTGCCGCGTCCAAAAGCCACGAGCCCTGACGTCAAGCCGCGCTTCCTGGGATCGGTTAGATGTTGACCATGCCAATGTCTCACCACCAAATGGGAGAAGGTTGGGCTCGATTGCCACATCGGGACTTACACTTCTGAGTAGTTCAGCGATGAGATCACGTATCTCATTATGCCTTGCGGTGGGATAGCCACCACAAGGGCACACCATGGCATGGTCAGTCGACAAGTTAGCTCCGCATACACAGTTCGTTGGAAGACCATCAAGCGGTAGACCGTACCGAAGCGCCACAGCATCTCGAAAATCTGATTTGTTAAGTGTTGTGCCATGGGCGGACCTTGGTTCAACAGTCAGCCAGGAGGACACGCCCTTCTCACCAGCTATCTCCACCAAGAATCGCTGGTCTGGCGTCAGGTGATCATGTACTGTGGCCAGGATCTCTATGTCCCTAGCGTCTCTCTTCTTCTTGCCTTCTCTTAAACGCTGGCGAGTCTCCATCACAGCCTCGCTAACGCTAGCATCGCGTGACGGAATTTCCATTGAAGCTGATGGTGGCCGGTGCGGAAGCCATGATGAGGTTAGAGACTCATCAGCGGTTTCATTGTTGACTGTGTGACGCGTCGGACGCAGTGAGAGCCAAATCTCTGACGCATCACCTCCATCCAGAGAACGAACATCACCGCGCTCCCGGTCAGCAGAGACAATATCCACCGACCCAGAATTCAGCGGCATAGCTTCCACGTTGTTGATGTTAGTTACTGAGTTCCGCTCCACTGCCTCTTCGGACGATTCCTCATCCGCCAATTCGACCTCGGCCAACTCCTCAGCTGCAACTACTACTACTACTACTACTACTACTACTACTACTACTACTACTACTACTACTACTACTACTACTACTACTACTACTACTACTACTACTACTACTACTACTACTACTACTACTACTACTACTACTACTACTACTACTACTACTACTACTACTACTACTACTACTACTACTACTACTACTACTACTACTACTACTACTACTACTACTACTACTACTACTACTACTACTACTACTACTACTACTACTACTACTACTACTACTACTACTACTACTACTACTACTACTACTACTACTACTACTACTACTACTACTACTACTACTACTACTACTACTACTACTACTACTACTACTACTACTACTACTACTACTACTACTACTACTACTACTACTACTACTACTACTACTACTACTACTACTACTACTACTACTACTACTACTACTACTACTACTACTACTACTACTACTACTACTACTACTACTACTACTACTACTACTACTACTACTACTACTACTACTACTACTACTACTACTACTACTACTACTACTACTACTACTACTACTACTACTACTACTACTACTACTACTACTACTACTACTACTACTACTACTACTACTACTACTACTACTACTACTACTACTACTACTACTACTACTACTACTACTACTACTACTACTACTACTACTACTACTACTACTACTACTACTACTACTACTACTACTACTACTACTACTACTACTACTACTACTACTACTACTACTACTACTACTACTACTACTACTACTACTACTACTACTACTACTACTACTACTACTACTACTACTACTACTACTACTACTACTACTACTACTACTACTACTACTACTACTACTACTACTACTACTACTACTACTACTACTACTACTACTACTACTACTACTACTACTACTACTACTACTACTACTACTACTACTACTACTACTACTACTACTACTACTACTACTACTACTACTACTACTACTACTACTACTACTACTACTACTACTACTACTACTACTACTACTACTACTACTACTACTACTACTACTACTACTACTACTACTACTACTACTACTACTACTACTACTACTACTACTACTACTACTACTACTACTACTACTACTACTACTACTACTACTACTACTACTACTACTACTACTACTACTACTACTACTACTACTACTACTACTACTACTACTACTACTACTACTACTACTACTACTACTACTACTACTACTACTACTACTACTACTACTACTACTACTACTACTACTACTACTACTACTACTACTACTACTACTACTACTACTACTACTACTACTACTACTACTACTACTACTACTACTACTACTACTACTACTACTACTACTACTACTACTACTACTACTACTACTACTACTACTACTACTACTACTACTACTACTACTACTACTACTACTACTACTACTACTACTACTACTACTACTACTACTACTACTACTACTACTACTACTACTACTACTACTACTACTACTACTACTACTACTACTACTACTACTACTACTACTACTACTACTACTACTACTACTACTACTACTACTACTACTACTACTACTACTACTACTACTACTACTACTACTACTACTACTACTACTACTACTACTACTACTACTACTACTACTACTACTACTACTACTACTACTACTACTACTACTACTACTACTACTACTACTACTACTACTACTACTACTACTACTACTACTACTACTACTACTACTACTACTACTACTACTACTACTACTACTACTACTACTACTACTACTACTACTACTACTACTACTACTACTACTACTACTACTACTACTACTACTACTACTACTACTACTACTACTACTACTACTACTACTACTACTACTACTACTACTACTACTACTACTACTACTACTACTACTACTACTACTACTACTACTACTACTACTACTACTACTACTACTACTACTACTACTACTACTACTACTACTACTACTACTACTACTACTACTACTACTACTACTACTACTACTACTACTACTACTACTACTACTACTACTACTACTACTACTACTACTACTACTACTACTACTACTACTACTACTACTACTACTACTACTACTACTACTACTACTACTACTACTACTACTACTACTACTACTACTACTACTACTACTACTACTACTACTACTACTACTACTACTACTACTACTACTACTACTACTACTACTACTACTACTACTACTACTACTACTACTACTACTACTACTACTACTACTACTACTACTACTACTACTACTACTACTACTACTACTACTACTACTACTACTATGTACAGCTACCCTATCGGGCCACGCCGCTCCCAGAAGCGGGAGACAACGACAAGAAGAGAAAAGAGAAGAGAGAGAAATCGCAAAGTCAACAGTATTGGGCATGGCATTGCAAGTCCTGTGGCCTTGAGAACCGCCTTTCGCAATGCTCGCATTCATGACGGCAGTTGTTCCTGGCTGCACGTGACATCCGTTTCGTACGGTCACAGTGATGCCGGCTCAAACCAGAACGGGAGCGGAAAGATCGGCGACAAACATCACATCGAAAAGAGTCAGATTGATGGCGAATAGATACAGTAGGGACATCCGTGGACACAGGACAGCGATGCACAGCCAGTCCTCCAGCGACACCCCCCCCCCCCCCCCACACACACACACACTACAAACACCATTATCTACCATCAATCGGGGGTGGTCTTACCAGCGTCGAGCATTGTCGACAATCACGCCGTTATCGATAGAGAAGTTGTCGGTGGGCAGACCAGCAATGTTCCATGCACGGATCTTGATGGGTTCACCAAGAATTTGGCTTAGCTGGAAATCCGCTGAGCATGGTATACCACGATTCTGTTGTAACGGAGAGGACGGTGGAGGGAGAGAGAAGCGTGAGACACTAGAAGTGGCATACACACATACGACTGTCATAGAACGAGTAGGAGAAGGAACGTGATTTTTCTAAGAGCCGAAAACTTCCATTTTTCCAAAGCAAAGGACCATTAGCCCCAGTATATGTACCTCTATACATAATGTGTCTGTACAAGCATAGACTGGTGTCAAGATTAAAAGAGACATCATGATACTCTCACCTTGCATTGTTTCGTCCAGTCAGCAACGCACTCTGCACGATACGCGGACGTGAACGCACCGAGATACGCGATCACACCAGATGAGACGAGAATATCTCCAATCAAGTTGTCAAAGCGAGCCTGCAGAGAAACTGCAGCCTCCGACCATCTGAAAGTCAATGCAAAAAAAACAGAATGTCAAATAGATGCTAACCAAAATGCAATCGCGGGAAGAAAGGATCTTGCAAGCGTCCACAACCAGTAGTATGCACTGAGATGCAAACTGGAGCAAGGCGCAAACTTGATTCACGCGATCGGATTTCATTGAGCAGTACTATACAACCAATTGCTTCGAAAGCATTGGACACACCACTCCACTACACGGCCTCACTCACCGTGTCTTCTCACCACCAAGGCCGCCAATGAGCTTCTTAGCACGCTCCAATTTCTTAGCGCACATGTCAACCTGCACCGCAGCAAGCAGACAACCGGAGTTAAGCCAAACTGGTTGTGCTTACACACGTTGAATTAGGAATTGCAAATCTTGATGGGAACAATACAATTGTTACGTAACAGCCCCTACCATGCAGTATGTGCATGCAGGACTGATGGGTAAACTGGTAGTTCACCTACAGAAAGACTGGAGATCATCGTATCTTTTAATTACATCAGATGTAATTAAAAGATACGATTCAGTTTCTACTGAAAATACAAACAGCACAGGACAGAGCCGCATAAAGCCAGTACCTGGAACTCCAGCTTGTTCTTCTCCTCCGTCTTCTGATCAAACTGTGCTTTCAGTGATGCTAATCGATCCTCCACCTGCATATGGAATGGAAACAGAACAGCAGCACCCAAGGAGAACAAGCCATCGTTACCAGTATACACAGTAGAGCACAGTGGAACCTCTTTAGAACAAACACCACGGGACCAATGGAATTTGTCCGTACAGACGAGAGTTCCTCTCATCCGTACTTTACACACAGTGAAGGCGCAATGGTGTGTCCAGGAGAGACACAACATAGTAGTCCTATTAACCCTTTAAGAGCCGCCCCATACTTGAATGCAAAACTTCAAAAGATCGTAACTCAGTCCAATCTCGCTCAAATCCAGTGATCGAAATATCCAGGGCGAAGAGAAAACTCTCACCTGTCGGGAGAAACAATCCGCGTAGCGCTGCGAGCAACGGTTCCTGAGATAAATCACTTGTAAGTTGAGCCGCGATCGCGGCAATTTCAAAAGCACGCAGTGCGACTTTAGTATTGAGAGTTTTGAGACTTTTCGTCATGCTGGTTTACTCGAATTTGCACGGGTTTCACTGTTGATATTGTCAAGAGTACACAGCGAAAAAATCGGAACTCCACGATCAAGTAAAATGAAATATCTGGAGCGGGACGCAATTGGACGCATTTGGGGCATTTTTCGTACTGTCGCTGCGATCTAGCGCTGGATAGACGGTGTGCTGGCTATCATGATCGACCTCATTCTCTTCCTCTTGCGGAGACCTTTCCAGGAAGCCCTAGATTGTGAGGATTGAGTGAGTAGAACAGAAGCTAACACGAAAAAATGCACAATTTTGAAATTTTCCTGTGGCTCTTAAAGGGTTAAAGCAACATTGAAATCAGATATTGAGCCAATAATAAATGTAAAAATATAAAGGACACATGGATACGACTTAGGAGTCACTGTCCACCACTGTAACTACACCGCCGTACATGTAGTTTCAATAAGCAGTCAGAAATTGCGATAACTGGGCACAAAACTGACAGACTGGCTACACAAAAGCCAGGAGTAGCAATGGTGATCCAAGCTCAGGAAGTTAGCTGCATGCACCCCCAGGGGCTCCCAAGCACCCCTGACTTCTCGCCCGGGAGAGAAATAATAGAGAGGCTCCGCATAACGCAATTACGTTAGTAAGAAACGTAGTCGATCTACGGAAAGTCTTACGTAAACTGCATGCGCATCGTGGTTCCGCCATACGGAGTTTTCAAATCACGTAGCTGCCCTTGGCAACTCCGAACGCGGCAGTGTACGACCAGATCGACATGGGGAGAAAGTCATAAATGTGTACCCCAATCCACTCACGGACCAGCTACGTTATCAGAGCCCTATCTACATACTCTCCGTAGACAACTTTCCATAAGTGGAGTGCAAACTCGCGAATTCACGGGTTTTTCCCGCCCACTAACGTAAAGTTGCTCGACTATACGTAGTGCGGAACCTCTCTAATATCACTATTTGATCCTACGTTCCTGTAATGCATCACACAAACTGCCTGCAAGATACAGTGTGAGCTGTTGTTGGAGTGTGAGTCAGCAATCAGGCCCCACAAGCACAGCTACAGTACAGCCGGGCGCCGAAGAACGCTGCTGACCTTTTGCCTCCCTTACTACTACACTGCTGACCTCTATCCTCCCGCTCACCCTGTTCCCGCTTAGCCCTTGCTCACCTTTTGCCTCGCTTACTGCATGCACACCTTTTCCCGCTCACCCTGTTCTCGCTTACCGCATGCACCCCTTCTCCCTCCTTTGACATGGTAAGATTTAGATATACCCCCAAGGCTGCGCTTGCTCAGTCTTCTGCCTTGTTCTTCTCTTGTTCTTCTCCTCTCTATTCGAGTTCCCTTCTTCTATTCCAGTCTTGTTCTTCGGTCACTTCTCTCTTCGATTGCAGTCTTTTAGTTAGTTCTCCCCAGTCCTCTTCTCTGTGTGCTTCTCTTTGTTGAGCCTTGATTAATATAACTATAAGTCTTAGCACCTACCAGCTGTAGTCTCTGTGAGAGTCAGAACCAATAGTAGTACGTATAGTAGTAGTAGTAGGTCCAGACCAGACCAACAATCCTATATTGACTACACGAGGGCCTCCTTCCAGCACCAGCCTTCGGACGTCGATACGGCATGGGAGCAAATCGCTTCGAGGAAATTCTTGCTGCCATGCACATTCGTCCACCAGTCAGTGGAGACACCAGGCGCGGCTGGAAAATTGTGAGCCCCCTCATCGACATGTGTAATTTGAAGTGGCGGACTTCAATCCGGCCCGGGCACAAATTGACGGTGGATGAGTCAGTGTTTACGTGGTACGGCCATGGTGGAGACATTGGTGGGATGCCCATAGTCATCAAGATCAAGCGGAAGCCGAAAGGCGTGGGCTGCGAAATAAAGTCCGTTGCTGACGCGTCCACCAACATCATGCTTGCGATGGAGATCAATGAGGGCAAAGA